ACCAGTGGAGTATCTTAGATGGCTGCTCACAGGCTTTTAAGACCCCAGACACTACTCACCAAGGTAGAATGTAAAGCATTGTCTTTATAAGCTGTGTCATGCCAATTGAGCTAGATGTTCCCTGAGACCATGGTCCCCAGAGCCCCACTGAGGGATATTTCATTCAGGCAGTGCTAAAGTCTGATGAAATATACAGCATAGCTCTGTAGAGGGTAAAATACTTTCAATTTTAAATAAAAACCAAAATCAAACTCGTTGCCGTCAAGTCGATTCCAACTCATAGCGACCCTACAGGACAGAGTAGAACAGCCTAATAGAGTTTCTAAGGAGCAGACGGTGGGTTTAAACTGCTGACCTTTTGGTTAGCAGCCAAACGCTTAACCACTGTGCCATCAGGGTCCTCAATCTTAAGTAGTACTGGATAAATATGTTCAATTCTATTTAAACTGTTTTTCTAGACTTTCAACTGATAAAACTACCTTCCTACTGATGCACTGTTTCTTTAAATAAAACCTATCTAAAAATTATTCTTTTAATATGTAAATACCATTCATATGACTGCAATCTAGTCTACCATCGGCCTTGGAACCAATACATATCTAAGTTCCAGATGAGATGATGTAACACTCATCTCTTCTATCAGGTGTTGATTTTATCAAGCTATTAAAAGTGTTAGCCACCCATCACTGGCACCTACAAATAATATGTGATAAGTGATATGGTTAGAGGTCAGTGCCCAATGTTATGGGAGCACTGGAGTTCTGGGAAGGACTGACTCACATACGTGACACTGGAAAGTCTCTCAGGGTTAAAAAAGTATCCCACTATCAGAATAGGAGACGAGAAGTTTAGGTAGACACATCTATCTTTAGAAAGAGAACAAATGGCATGATCCAGAAATGAGAAGTTTCACATGGCTAGATTTCCAAGTGTTGCACAAAATGGACTTTTCTCCAGGTACTTGGAAAGAAGTCCAGGATCCTATGCCTGGAAGCAACCACATCAAATATAATTTGGAAGGATAAACTCTGCCACTAAAGTGGGAAAATAAATTGGAGGGTAAAAGTAATAGGAAGCAAAGAGCTAAATTAAAAATCCACAGAGACAGTTCAAGCAACACCACAAGAGCTTAAACTAAACTATCTTCAAAAACAAGAGCAAAAAAAAAAGAATTAAGATATTTAGAGGAAATAAAGGAATTAGGCATGAGATTACTAATTATTTCTGTAAGGAAAGTTTCAGTAAGTAGAAATAAAAATCAGGCAATTATGTAAAGATAAAATGAAAATAATGGGCATAATTATTCCTTAGAAAAACTAAGCACTAAAGGGAAAATCTGATGGCTACTAGAACAAACCTGTTGCCATCGAGTTGATTCCAACTCATAACAACCCTACAGGACGGAGAACAACTGCCCCACTGGGTTTCCAGCGAGTGGCTGGTGGATTCGAACTGCAGACCTTTTGGTTAGCGGCCGAGCTCTTAACCACTGTGCCACCAGGGCTCCTAGAATGGTTCATACAGATAAGGGGGGAAATGTTCATGTTTAAGGCAAAAGGGAAGGAACTAACATTAGGGGTGGAGCTGAATATTCTAGAAAGGAGTTAAGTGCAGAAGTAGTCACTTAAAGATCAGAAATAGATGGTATCAAAAGCGTAAAAAGAAAGTACAACTTTATAAGATCTAGTTAGCAGAAGCACAAATAGATATGAAAATGTATTAAATTGGAAAACTGAGGTTTTCAGAAGTTACATGAACTTAGCCACAGTAATAGAAGCAACAGATCAAAAAAGGGTGAGAAGCTAAGCTATAAAACAAAGGGGGTGGGGTGGTCAGCTGAAAGTCATTTTGAGAATTTTGGCAAAAATGAACACAGGAACTGACTAAATGATTGCCAAGCGACTGCGAGTCTGCATGAATCAGTAGAGAAATGATTGATATGGATTTAGGACCTGGTAGAGGTTACAGGAATAGGAAAATGCAGGATAACTAAGTGGCTGATCAAAACAAAGAAAGCACCAAAGCAGACAAAGTTCGAGAGAAGAAACCTGAAGAATAATCATTGCCAACTCAAGGTCAGGAGAGGGAAAATGTCATGAGATTAAAAATCAGGATTACCATTCTGGCAATGTGAGAGAGAGAGGTCTAAAAAGTTAAGAAAAGGTCAGAAGAAATAACTCACATGGATGACTGACAGACCCAAGTTGGGTTTTTAAAACATGGTTACTTCAAATAGGTCCTTTAAGAGGAGAGAGTACTGTCTAGATTTATTCCAGGAGAGAAATTCTTCCATATAATTCCAAAGCAGACGTAAGCAGCCTAAAACAATTACGAATAAACAAGGAGAACTTCTTCCCATAGACCAAGTCTATCCCAGGTTGATTACACGGGCTATTCTGGCCTTTATCTGGCTTTATGACATAGCTCCAGCCCTTAGAGACACAGTAAACTGGTCTGAAAGTAACAAAAGGAGACCTATGCTAAGTTTGAAATGAAAATAACAGAAGGATTCGGTATGAAAGCGGCTAAAGAATAAGGTCACTTACTGATATTTAGTATAGGTTTATTGATTGAATCATATGAAATCACTGATATTTAACTGTTTTGATCTACAAAATGGTAATTTCATAGAGCTCAAATGTATAATTCACAAACAGAATTATAAAGAAATTAAAACGAGAGAAAAGGGACCGTAAAACACAATTATCAACAACTACGATTGGAACTCAAGCATACCGTTGTTAGTTGATGTCAAGTCATTTCTAACTCAGAGTAGAACAGCTCCATGGGGTTGTTAAGACTGACCTTTTGAAAGCAGATCACCAGGCCTGTCTTTCAAGGAGCCTCTGGGTAGGTTCTATCCACCAACCTTTTGGCTAGTAGTTGAGCACTTAACCGTTTGTGCTGCCCAAAAATTCAAGCATATGGATGTTCAAATTTAATTGTTCAGAGAATTAGTTTGGTTTGCCAGCATCAATGTTTAGCAGCACACAATACATCCCTAATCTCTTCAAAGTAAAAAGCACAAGCAGAAATTTTTACTACTTCCCAACTCAGGAGAAATAAGAAATTTAATGTAATTTAAAACTAAGGTCAAAAAGCATAAATCCTCAACAAAATGTCCTAACACTTTCTAACTTTCTTAAGGATTACGTGAAGTTGGCAAAATTATGTTCAAAAACAGCAGCTCCTGTCTTTCTGGTGAACATGATGGTATAAGGTAGTTTTTGGAATTTGATTAAATTTAGAAATAAACTTACTAGAAAATATTTTCCCCAATATAAATTAATATGGCAAAATACAATACCAAAAACAAATAAGAGGATAAGGTTAGTACTTTTATTTTTTTTTAACAAGAATAGACACCATTCTAATATACTTCACAAAGCATTTTCACTCATAGGTGTTGAAAT